ATTTTTAAAAAGATTTGATATTCAACAAAAAGAAAAATTCCCTTTCAATGCATCCATATCCACTCAAACAAGGGTTAACTGTGCAGTTGCACCACGGGAACAACGATCAACAAACGACAGTACAGCCCAGCACACACATCGAAACAAGAAGCAGCAATAAGGGACTGTGCACCAATGCAGGACTGCTACTGCTGTCACTGAACTGTGTAACATTTAAAGGGACTGAACCTGTAGAGGGAGAATTAGTTAGCATATTTTGAGATTTCAATGTTTCAGCAGTGGTTGAGTTATTAGTTGTTTCCCTCTCTTCCTTAGAACCCCCGTCTCTGCCGTTTTCTTTTCTTACATGTTGGTCATTTTGTTGCTCCACAGTCGATATATTTTCATCTGTGTTTGGTCCATTTTCAGCTGTTGTTACGATTGATCCCTTTTCCCCATTATTGTTGGTTTCGTTCCCTGAACTGTTTTTAGTTTCCATTGTTACTGATCCATTTTCTTCATTTCTGTTGATTTGGACTTCTGTACTGTTTTCAGCTTCCGTTGTTTGTTTCTCGTGCTGCTCTTCATTTTTTGGTGCTGAACCAACGTTTTGTTGCTGTTCTTCTTCGGCAGCTTTCTCTGTTGCTTCTGCTGCTGCTGGTGCTTTTGCGGCTGCTATTGCAGTCTTTGGGTTTTGAATGGCTTCCTGCAGAAGCTTCGCAGCGTCATTCGCTGCTTGTTCCAGTTGTTCTGCCTTGGCAACCTCTGCTTTTGCGGCAGTGACATTCTTCTGCACCTCCGTTGCAAACTTTTCCGCTTCATTAGTTTTATCCACAGCAATCACTGGAGCCGCGGTCAACTTCACTAAAAGTTCCGATGGCGATCCTACCATTGAGTCTAATGAATCCAAATGTCCATTTGATGTTTCATTCACACTCTTCGCGGCTTCTAAAAGTTGACCCGCAGCATCGCCAGCAGCATCAGCGGCGTCATTTACAGCATCTGCAGCAGCTTTAACTTCTTGGGCCGCCCGAGTGCACTTTTTCACGAGTTCGTTGGCCTTGTTCTCCCTCTCATTATCTGCAACACTCGTTAAACCAGTTTTACTCTCTTTGGCAAATTGTGTGCACTCATTTGCTGCAGTCTCGGCATGTTTAGAATCTGTACTGTACTTATCCCTTGCTTGACTCAGTAACTCAGCTTTAATTGTTGTGTTCTTTTTTTCCTCCTCCATTTTAGCTGTCGAATCACTTATCTTCTGTAATATAGCCTCATGCTCAGCTGCCCTTGGTTCTTCAGGGGCAACATCTACATCTGTTAAAACACGTCCCCTACCACGTCTCGCATATGCCACACACGTACAGAAGTGCACAAGTACCAACAGGTACACCACGCGGCGCAGTTGGACGAACATCGTTGTCATGATTGTCACTGTGGGTTGCTTGGGTCTGTGGTAACAAGGAAGAAGAGAAGGAGAAACAACAAGAACACAAAGAGCAGTGC